AGTTGCGATTTCCTTAATGTTATTGCGCTTTTAGATTTGTAGTTGCAGTTTGCACTTCAGGGCCACCGTAGAATGACCTTTTTTAATGAGAAAACACTCACCTACGATAGCAAGATTGTGCTCAGATCCACAGGCAATCTGCAAAAGAAGAAACCAACAAAACGATGTAAAATTTACTCAGAGTAGGTATGACACTGCCGACACTATATGTGCAGATAATAGCACCTAGCCGCTCTTTGTCATGCCAGCAGTTATTTAGCAGACATATTTGGCAGAAAGTGTGAATAATGTCGTCAAAGTGAGTTGGACAAGGGCCAAATTATAATGTTTACCTAACTGATCATAACACCTGCAAAAACTGAATCTATAGTGGGGTGTTCAGATCTTGACTTGTGTTGGGAGACAGAAATCTGTTCTATTTAGACCTCAACCTTCAGGATTACACAATATTAGGCATCTACCATGAACATCTTGGCTTCAGGTGGCAGAGACATGGTTCCACACATAGATTTATGCTTTTTTCTACTCTACATATTAATAACTACCTGCTTAATTTACAGCGTTATCAGTTTTATTCGATTTTAAATCTCAATGCTGAACCTGGCTTTGTATATTTAGGGAGGTAAACAGCATCTTGACTGACTGACACCAACTGTTTCATCATCTGCAGCTCTTGTAATGCTCAAAGACTGCTAAATTATTTAAAAACTCAGGTCGTGACCTTTGTAACTTTTTCAGTTTTAGATTAAGATTCAAACAATTAACTGTGTAGTTAGCATTAGATTATTGATGATACCTTAATACCCTGAGTTTTAGAGTGTAGACACCAACTCTAAAACTTTAGATTTGCTGGGAGAACAAACCATTAAGAGTGGTAATTATGCTAAAAATGTGCAAATAATATACACCATTTATTTTAAGATAAAAAAACGTATGTTTTTTCTTTAATTATGCTCAATCAAGACGTTCTTAAGTTTCTCTTTTTTCTGGTTGCAAAAATGAATAAACAATTTTGACTAACAGACTGATGAAATATTTGCTAAGAAAGAAAAAGTCAACAGTATAATTGATTAGTGAAGTAATCTTTATTTGCAGAAACATGCAATAGCTGGCAGGTTTTTGTCTTGACCAGATCGTGTTGAAGGACCACAGGTCCAGTTCCAGCTTTCGTTAAAGTTGTCTGTTGTCAATAAAGTGAAAATAACTTTTTTTTTGTTGCTTTTAAAACCTGCTTGAACTCGGCCAGGAAATAAAAACTACAATGTTTTAGAGTAAATTGATCAAATTGAACTGTGATGTGGAAAATCAATGATACAAGCCGTTCAAAAAAAAAATTAATGCAAAACTCTGCATCCGTTAAACTGCAAAGATTTTGTCCAAAAAAAGTAAAAAAAAAACATGACAAAGTAAAGTCAGTTGTGCATCATTTCATGGGCATTGCGCTGCCGTGTGTTATGCATAAGTTAGGCTGTCATTGGACAGAAGTTGTGGACTCGTTATGAATACTCTATGAATACGCCCAAACTTTAAAAAATCCATAGAAAGTTCAGCGTCTGCCAGCGTTTTAGGAGATCCTGGGATGTCGGGCAGACGCTGGATAAATCGGCAAGGTGTGACAGGACCCTTAGTTTCTAAATAGTTTTGTGCTTTATAATGTGAAGGTAAAGACTTTTTTTTTTTAACTCTCAGAAATATGATGGGAAAAGTGTTAATCATGATGACAGTTCATAAATACCCAGCAGCAGCATCCAGAACTTTGCAGATGTCACAGTTTTTTTCTCCTCCATGTTCACAGTGACTGACATAAAGGAAATGTGTTAAAGAAATTTACATTTCAATGAGTGTCTAATGCAGCGTTGCCCACGCTGTCCTCTGTTTCTATCAGAGCTGATCTGCATTAATAAAACTGTTTTAAGCTGAAGACGACCTCAAGGAAAACAAAAAAATATATATAAATGCATAATAATTCTTGAGTCGCTGATAATTTGCTGCTTATTCTTCCCTCGTTTTTCAATTACTTAAAAATCATGATTATCTTTGCAGTTCATTGGATCTTTAAAGGCTTCAAATAAGGAGGCGGGACTAGCAGATTAACCAACTGCTCTAATTCATCTGGCTTTTCATGAAGCACTTAGACACTCAGAGATGATTCCTGTTGGACACGCCTCATTGCAGCTGAGCTGCTCTGTACTCAGCGGCGAACGATCCAGTACTTGCCCTTGTCCGTCTGACACCAACCTTACTGACAAAGCGCCGCTTCCATACAGCACCCGTTCAGCCTGCAGGTTAAGTGCCCCCCCCTCCAAAACCACACAATTAATTACTCTTATGATAGAGATGTCCGCCTTATGGAAGCAGATGTCTTCCTCATGCATAAATAACATCCTTTTGTCTGTAGGCAGAAAATCACCATGAAGTTTGAAACCATCAGCCGGGGTTTTATCTGTGGTTAGCTGCTGCCTCCTGCTGGACTTCTGACAGTATAGCTAACCATCTAACCTACACACAGACCTTCAGCGATAAAAACTTAAGATTTAGATGAATGATTGCTGAAAAGGCAATCACCCCCAAAGATGAAGGGCTTTGACACTGAATGCTACCTGTGTTGCTCCATTAAGGGATGTAACTTCTACTGGGAGGCAATCCTTCCTGTTTCCCTCAGCTTCAGGACCAGGACCAGGCTTCTCTGCGTTCTGGTTGACTGAGGGCGGTCGACCAAGCTGCCCGTAATCTCCTCTACCCCATGTCAGTACTCTCCCACTCTCTGAAAGAAAATTGGAGCAAATAGTCATTTTTGGACATAGATATCAAATATCAATGTCAACAGTATTGAATAATTAAATAACAGAACAAAACTTAATTGTCTGAAATGTAAACTAACTAGACTCTCCCCTTACTGTCATGTCTTTAGAATCAGTCTGAAAAATTAATGCTTAAATAAGTAGAAAATCTCCTGAAAGGGACAGTAGGTCTGCTGCTGCTGATGGAGTCTATGTTCATTCATGGAGTCGCTTCTAGTTTAACTTGCAGTTTGTTCTCTAAGATCATGATAAAGAGTGCCCAAAAAAACAAAACGTCACATTTTCTTATTAAAAAAAGATTTTATGAAGCAAAATATTTATATCGAGTAATAAAATCAAATATTAAAACCACTACATTTTTCTAAGGTCAACATTTGTGTGACCATTTTCAATAATCTTTCTGCTGCTGTAAATCTGCCCATTGTGGGACAATAAAGACATTTTCTATTCTATTATATAAAAGGGGTAGAAAGATATAAGTAAATCTAAACACTGTATGTAAAAAAAAATATATCTGCAAAATCTCTAATGTTCAACAACAAAAAATAGTAACAGATAAAAACCTTTAGATAAATCAAACATTATGTCACATATCTGACTCAATAACCATTGAAACAACTATTTTTCATGCATCTCAGACGGAACCATTCACAGACTTGTATTATATTAAACTGAACTTCCAATTTTCACCACTGTTCGGCGCCAAGTAACCTTTCCTCTGATCACAGAGCAGCCGGCTTGCTTGGTCTCGCAATGAATCCTGGGTAAACCAAGGATAGCGAGGATACATCGGACCTGTCCTTCAAATCGGGTAAAAAGAAGGCCGCATTTTAAGGCCGCATAACGAGGACTCTTGGAATCCGACCAGACCTCGGCGGCGTGCTATGACGTAATCGTCCTTC